AGAACTGAATTTATTAACTTGGTTTGAAAAAATAGCTAAATTCTAGAAGGTGGCGCTTTAAGAACTCATATTAAATCTTTATAATTGATAGCGATCCTAAAAAGTTGTGAGTTGTCCAAGTTATCTATAGTTGTGGTTAAAAAACATAGGTATAAGCGAGGGGATCCATTGTAAATATGATCAGGCAACATTTCCCCTGTTTAGTAGCAGTTATGCTAACATTTTCATGACCTTGTGAAAATTGTAAGTGAATCAATTTTAAAAAATCAGCCCAATTATTGTTTTCTGCTATCACTTCTTGTAAAAAAAAAACCCAATAGTTGTTTAGATGATGAGCAATACTGGAATTATGGTCTAGCAATAGAACTGATCTGTGTCTAATGAATTTGGCAGTGTTGCAAGATATCAAGAAGCCAATCCTGCAGTTTACACTTGTATTACATTTCCATTTCTTTTTGCGGTGATGTTTGGGGACTGGGGTCATGGAATATGCTTATTGGTCGGAGCATTAGTTCTTATAGCTCGTGAAAGTAAACTCAGTGCTCAGGTGCGTCCTTACTACCAGAAAATTGTAATGAATCATATTGATATGGTTATAAATAAATGTTCTTCTAAATGCTTCCAATCATGTACCATTTTCCAGTTCATGACTAGCAGCTGTTACTAAAAGTACATCTTTTGCACTCTCCAGAACCTGTCGAAAGATGTGTTGTAATCCTAGTCACTCTTACTTTTACCCTGAGCTTTTTCACGGCTGCTACTGTTTCTGTGTCAACACAATTCAGCAACATATCATAAAACAGAGCCTGCATTTATTGGGGTCCAAGACAACACTGCAGCCATGGTTTAGTTAGCAACTTAGCACCAATATGATATCTTTACCTAGATTTACATATCCCATGTCTTGGACCATTCTTATAGTGGTACCGATGATAGTGTTAATTAATAAAAGCAGTAACAGCAGTAGAAGTAATAATTTTTTTCATATGGGAGCAAGTAGGATAAGCTTTCATTTCTTATCAGGTGAATTGCTGAAACAATTCCTAGTCCTAATAGCTATTGTTTGAGAGGAATGACCCTAAAAGGACAAGGACTTGATGATAATGCAGTGATCTTTGAACATATGACCTGATGGTTCAATTTCGTCTGAACGAAAATATTCTAGTGTCTCAAATGCAAGCACAAAACATGCATTTAACATGTAAAATAGGAGATTGTATGTATTTCCTAAGTTTATTAACAATAAATTTCGTATTACTTCCTACCAGAAACTTGGGAGCTTTATGGAGATGCTATTTGGTGGGCGATACGTACTACTCTTGATGTCCCTATTTTCAATCTACTGTGGGTTGATTTACAATGAGTTCTTTTCTGTTCCTTTTCACATATTTGGCGGGTCTGCTTACAAATGTAGAGATGCTGCTTGCAGGTAGTCTTTCTATATTAAGTCTTCTACTCTACAATTGCCTTTATGTGTTGTATCTTGTATTAAAGTCACCTTCAGCTGGGTTGTTTAGAACGAGTTTATGTTTCACAGTGTACCACTAATATATTGTTTTAGAGAATTGAGGTTTCTAGAATCCATGTGCTTATACCCCCACTGCCTGTCTGCTCTTGCACTGCTTGTTTTGGCTTAATTACAGATCAATGCTTATAGAATTTTCAATATTTTCCAAATAATCTAAAAATATAAAGATAATAACAAAATTTGTTAATTTAAGTTATGTTTCACCATGGTTTTGGATGGATTGGGGGTTTCATTGCCTCCTCCTCTAGGGGTCATTTCCAGGGTGAAAACGGTCACCCCTTGTTTGATTTATGGGGGTTTTCTCCATCTTGATTGATGGAGTTTGGTTGTGTGTTCTTTTGGAGTATTTGTCTGGTCCATAGTGCACTATTGTTGTGTTCTACAGAATGTCCAACTCGTCAAAGTGCGTCACTGTGGCACCTCCTTTCTTCCCTTCTACAACCCTGCATTTCTGTTAAAATCTGTTACTGACTTTTGATCTACTTAATTATTAACTGTTCTTTGTTGGGCATTTCTGGCGCTCTATTTGGTTGACATATTCTCTGTCACTTTTATTTGTGACTTGAAAACTATCCCCTAGTGTATGATTAATTAATATAAAGACCTTCCTCTGAATAAAACTGACTACTTATCATAAATTTGTCTTCTTTTGAGCAGTGAGGCGTACACTATTGGCTTAATCAAGTACAGAGATCCATACCCATTTGGTGTGGATCCCAGTTGGCGTGGAAGTCGTTCTGAACTCCCTTTTCTGAATTCTCTCAAAATGAAAATGTCAATTTTGTTGGGTGTTGTGCAAATGAACTTAGGAATTCTACTAAGTTACTTCAATGCAAGGTTTTTCAGCAGCTCGCTTGATATAAGGTGTGTCTCTGCTCTTCAAATGTGTTTTTTTTTTTTTTTGTCAGTTTGCCGTTTGTGTTACTTTGAAATGAAGTGCACAGAAGTTTGACTTATTCTGCATCTTGTCGTTAGGTACCAGTTTGTGCCACAGATGATCTTTCTTAACAGTCTTTTTGGATATCTTTCACTTCTTGTTGTCATCAAGTGGTGCACAGGATCTCAGGCAGACCTCTATCATGTAATGATTTACATGTTTTTAAGTCCAACTGATGATCTTGGTGAAAATCAATTGTTCTGGGGCCAAAGACCACTTCAGGCATGCATTCTGCTCCTCTTTTCCTTTACTTCGTATATGCAACTTCTTATGTGGTATTTTATGTTATGGTTAACAAATCTCTGGTTTTGCAGATCATTTTGTTGCTTTTGGCTTTAATTGCCGTTCCATGGATGCTCTTTCCAAAACCTTTTATATTGAGGAAGCTTAATACAGAGGTACTGTGGAGTAACTTGCTTAGGCATCTGTCCTTGAGTTCTAAGATGGCAATGGAATGGAATAAAATTTACTAGTAATTCTCTTTGACGTTTGTGCATTAGTAAATATTTTTAAAATTTGACTACGTAGTGATTAGTATTCTCACTGTTTATGGGGACTCAATTTACTTATGAGAGGTATACTTGTCTTCGACTCGCATAAGTATTTGAGGCAAGACTTAAGGAGCTTGAGAAGATGTGATACTTATGTTTTTCTTATGTTCGTTTTCAGAGGTTTCAAGGTCGTGCGTATGGGATGCTTGGCACCTCAGAGATGGATCTTGAGGTGGAACCTGATTCTGCGAGGCAACATCACGAAGAGTTTAATTTCAGTGAGGTATTTGTACACCAGATGATACACTCCATAGAGTTTGTTCTTGGCGCTGTTTCAAATACGGCATCATATCTACGACTATGGGCTTTGAGGTATACCTATATTTGTTTGTCGTCTTTTTCCGTGGTTTCTTTCATCTATGGGGTCGTTTTCATTTGATATCTGTTATTCCTATTACAGCTTGGCGCACTCAGAATTGTCGACCGTTTTCTACGAGAAAGTTCTCCTCCTTGCCTGGGGGTGAGTTCCAACCCTTTCATTCTTATCATTGCATGCATGTGCATATGAATGCTAGTTCTTCTCCTCAAACCTTTTCCTGCTCTTGGACACACGAAAACTAACCCGGATTGTAGTCTAGATCTACTTACGATATTTTCAAGGGTCACACATTATGGAGCTCCCCCACCCCAAAATCCTCTCCCCGGACCTTAACTACATACTTGCCCTAATCTTACTATTGTATTTTCCTCAGTTTCTTAGCAAGCTTGTAATTTGTCTCACCGTCTTAGAGGCTTGCTAAAGATCATTTCTTTCATCTGGCATAGTAAATATCTTTAATTCTAAATTGGCTTGCCATTCCCCAATGGGACAGAGACTATATTGCATTTGATGCTGCACATATTGGTCAATTTTTGATGTACTTCTGAAAATTTATAACAGGTATGATAGCTTCATTATCCGGTTGATTGGGTTATCAGTTTTTGCCTTTGCAACTGCGTTCATACTACTCATGATGGAGACGCTAAGTGCTTTTCTCCATGCGCTGCGTCTTCATTGGGTGGAGTATCAAAATAAATTCTACCACGGAGATGGCTACAAGTTCAAACCTTTTTCCTTCGCCTCCATAACCGAGGATGAGGATTAGTCCACATTTATACCAGTTTTCTTGTTCTTTGGAAGGAATGGTATATAGCGCAAAGAAATGCAGAGTTCTATCTCCAGCCTGAAATGGAATTTGAGAGAGCGAGCCATATTTCAGGCGGCATAGAGGGGGAAGATGCTCGATTTTGACCTGGAACTGTAAAGTCGTGGCTCATATTCTTTGGTGTAATATTGGTATAAAAGGGTTCCAGATACGAGTCATGGTTAGTTCCCTTCATAGTTGTGTGTACTTCGATTTGTATTCCGTTTATTACGAGGAGGGAAATTAGATTCACAGTTTGTAAAGAGGAGCTGGGGAATCGTCATACCGTGTATCTTTTCCGGTACTTTAGTTTATTTAGCTTACACACATGCACGGTAAGTGCGGATTTTGCTGGGAATTGGTCCTGGATTTTTTACAATTGTGACATTTACAAGTTTATGAAAATCAGAGATTCAAAGGAATTGGTTTTGTAACAGGACTCCAGTTTATTTAACTTGCATGTCGTGTTCGTTAATGGGCCATGCTTGTGTAAGTACGTTAAGAAAATGGATCATGTCATTGTCAACACGATGTGAATAAGAGAAATGATCCAATTAAATCATTTATCTAACAAAAATATTACTTTTACTATCTCTCAATACCAGCATTTGTACTTTCTTTCTAATAAAAATGAGATCGTACGAATATAATAGTTTGTAAATGTAGCATTACGAATGATCCACACTTCCATCACACTTATGCCTCCAGTTAATCGTCATAGACTCGAAGTTGACCACGTGGACTCTTTGGTCATTTCCTCTCAGCAGTCACGTGCTCGCACGGTCTCTTTGTCCCCCGTCCTCCCTATCCATCATTTTGCCGCTCGTCGATCCTTTGAAAAATTGAAGATCCACAAACATTTTGCGGACTCCATTACTCTACTCTGCACACCCATTCGATTCGAACACTTCACCCAACCGTAGCAACTGTCTCCGATCATTCGATCTTTCTAGAAACCCAGAGAGAGAGAGAGGGATGGAGTCTGACGTACTTCTCATCGAAATCGCAGGAGAAGACGACTCGCAGCTTCAATTGCCTCCAGACGACGCCGTTTCAAGCAGCAGCACCAACAAAACCTCCAAAGATGATGCCTTTTCTTCTGCCCGCCTCTCCCAACCCCTTAGATCCAAGCCTTTCGGTTCGGGTTTTCTCTTATACTTCCGTTGAATCCATGCTTCGTCTCTTGTACTTTGTTTTGGCTGTCTACGGTTTTTTTCCCCTTTCAAAATAAATAATGTGGATTCAATTTGACCTCTGATTTGCTCGGTAATGCGAAATTCACCTGCTTATTGATCGATAGTAACAGATATGCAGAAGGCAGCTCTGAAGGTTAGTCTAGCTCAAATAGTTGTGATATGACAGACAGTCGGCGGAAGTTGGATAGAATTCCTGTTCATGAAGACCAAATATCTATGGGACAAGAAGAACCATATAATACTAAAAAGGTTGTTCACATGGAAGAGGTAGAATTTCAGAGGAATGGGGATAAACTTCTTTCACAGAGGGGATCCTGTGAACTATTGGATAAGGATGATAATAGCATGAACGTTGCTTTTGTACTCGCTCCAAGAAGATGCAAGTTCTGTCAACAGTACTTTACTATCATGTGTTGATCAGTGTAGTGGTAATCGTGTCAATAAACTGCATGGGGAACAAGTTGATCTGTCTAAACCTTTGACCTGTGAAGGAGATCAAATGGTATGGGAAAACAGTGGTCGTTTCACCAAGGAATGTCAAACTTCTCAAGAGATCCAGAGCTACAGTTGTTTGAAGGTTGCAGACGTCAGTTCGAAGTCCAAAATTCTAGTGCAACTGACTCTAATGATTTGTATGACTCTAGATTTGATGACCGATCAAATAATGATGGTAGTACATTTGACAAAATGAGTGAGAATCCACATGAGGAAGATGCACAAATCCCGACTTTAAGTGGAAGATTAAAAGATGAAATGGATGAGGCTGACCTGAGGACTTCTGCTCCAGATAATTGTCGGTTGGTGATAATTGATTGTGGAAAAGGAAAGCCTGGACCGCTAGACCTTCCAAATACCTGCTATACCGGAGAACAGGTTTTCGAGGAATGTAGATTGCGCTTAGATGATTGTGTATTGGATGGATTCAGTACTATACCTGAAGAATCCCAGCAGAAAATTACTCTTCGGTGTGTTGAATTAAAAGAAACAGAGGGAACTGGTGTCAGCAGATGTGAATCAGAATTTTCTAAAACCCTTTCTTTAATGCCACCTGCTATGTCAGAATACAGGTTCAATGAGGCAGAAATAGTGAAGTCCAAGGACAATTTTGCTTCAGTGTCGGAAGACAAAGCAATGGTTGAGAGTTACAACCTTGACTCAAGGAATGACTCTCAGTTTAATTGCCAAGATTGTCGTTTGGAGTTGGACAGTGTGGATGAAGTTCAAACCATACGTGCAGTGACGGCTTACAAAATGGATGCCAGTTTCTTGGAAACTGGAGATTTCACGTCCCAGATAAACTTGAATCTGCTAGTTGAAGATACTTCAGGAGAGCCGATTAATTTGATGGGTGATAAAATCAATTTCAGTGGAGAGGAAATTAGTGTGATGAGTGCAAGTTGCTTAAATGCAGAAGATAAGAGTCTTGAATCAGAGTCCAGAGGTTCATGTGAGTTCATTTGAAGGTAGAGAATCTTTTGAAGAGTGCCTTACAGATAATATTGGGAATTGTGTAGATATGAGCTCAAAGGTGAGCGATTTAGGTGGAAGCGGGCCGCAAAGTCCCCATGGTAAGTATAAAAGCTTGGATAAAAGCTTGGATGAAGAAAATAAACAAGTTGATAAAGGTAGTGACATGATTAAGGAACGAGCTCTGGGAGATCTGCGAGAACATACCTCAGTCTCAAACTACGCATGCTCAGCAGTTGTTAATAACGTATATGAAGAACTAGCTGGATGTCCTGAGCTTCATCGTCCAAATTTTGATGTCATACGAGGGTCCCAGGATATTAACCCCGGGTCTTGTTTGAATGGTACCTTGCTTTCAAACAACACTTCCTGTAAGGATTTTGTGGAAACTGTTCACGAGGTTGTTTTTGATGACTATAATGCTCATGGAAGCGAATCAAAGAGTTCCAAAGTAGGACCAGCAATGCATGATTGCACACCAGATTTGGAGGAAAAGGCTGACTACTTACAAATGGAAGTTGCAGAGGATTTTAGTCTTGACTATAAGCCAAGCAACCAAGCTGCTTATCTGGAGTCTGTTTCATCTGCAAAAACAACCACCGGAGGAATTTCAGTGTCAACTCTGGCATTAAATGCCTGGGGAGGAGAATTATGCTCTTCTGTCATTTCTGATCGGACATCATCAAGTGCAAGTATTCTGCAGGATAATGATGTTATTTCATCGATAAGCAATTTAGCTGAGGAATCCGAAATTAATATATGAAATAGAATTTTCCTTGCCCCCCCTCCCCCGGAGAAGATAAGGAGGCAACTAACGAGCTGTATGTTCCAAAAAAGGCCTAGATCAGTTTTATCTGCTTACATTTGTGTCTGTGTTGCCCTTGTGTCCTTTAAGCCATTTGGTGCACATCTTTTGTGGATTGAAAATTCCATCCGAAATTCAGTTATCCCGTCTCTTTTTGCAGTAAGAAGCCGGGGACAGGAGTGATGGGAAGCCAGAGGGCCTTGTAATAAAGCCTCCATCAGATGCTCTTCCATTCTCCGATGAATGGTTAGCTGCACTAGAAGCAGCCGGAGAGGTAATACTTTTACTACTAGTTTTTCATCTGCACACTATAACTTATAACACTCGAACCGCTTTGTTATCCGTGTCAGCATTTTATAACTTTTTGTTTTGACATACCAATTGTCTCCTGGGACTACAACCACGTAGTTCTTTCTTTATTTGTTTTGGATCTTCAAGCGTACGTAACTGTTGCTCTCTTACTTTTTCGAAATCAATGAACTGCAACTTAGTTCTACAATTCATGAATATTCCTTCTTCATTTGTTTGCATCTTTACATAATGTACATAAATGTACTATGTCCTGCTTTTTGAAAGGGAAAGATCGAACTTAAACATAACTCAACATCTCTACACCGTGTGATTATATGAAAATGATCATTTGTCTTAAACGAAAGTACAAATTGTTAAAAAATAAAGGGAGAGAGTTATTCTTGTCCGCTCATGTAACTTTTTTTTTTTCAAACCGGTATCATTACACGCCACTAACCAAATTTAGAAGAGGAAACCAAACCTTAACAAGTAGTTCTGAACTTCGGATTGATCCAATGCCTATGGGTATTGGATGCCTCTATTTCATTTTGACCGAACACTTCGATTATTTTCTAGTTCTCAGTTTTGATACAAGACACATTTTGTAGTCTTTAGCATGATAATAGTAATCTTATACCAAGTGTTTCTGCAGGAAATTTTGACAAAGAAAAGTGGTGCAGTACAAAATTCACCCCCCAACAAATCTCAACCTCAACGGGGTCCATGGTCTCCGGTATGATTTTGCTCCCTAGACGATCCTCTATTCATTGTTTACAGATAGAGAGAGAAACACCATCGTACTCTTTGCACCTTTTTCTTGATTGAATTTTATTCGTAGAATTACAAATGTTCCAATGAACTGACGTGCTTACACTGTATGAATTTCAGGTGAAGCGAAAGGTTAATCATGTAACTGGACCGTTCGATTGTACAAAACATACCAACAATGGCCTCCCTACTTCTCAATAACCTTGGAGAGTAAGAGGAGTCCATCCACCTAATCATTCCATGTCACACTAACTAAACACACCATTCTTTTTCTTCGATCCTCTCCTTTCGTTGTAGTCACTAGCTAACTATCTGTGCAGACACTTTCCACATTATCTTGCTCCGAATACATTCAAAATCTGAAATTTTTTTCATTTCTTACATTATACGACTATGGTTTGCCTGCATTTTATTGATACAATGTTAGCTGAACACAATCATTTGACTCGTATGTACATATTTATAAAGAATTTAACCCCAAAAAGTGTCATTGCAAATTAGATTTAAAGATAACAGTAAAGAATGAAGCAGATTTTAAGCACTTAGTTAAAAGTCGAGTCCACCCGGAATCAAAAGATTACAACGATCATAGAATCACCAATATCTTGTTTTCATGTATGAAGAAACTCTTAAATCATATTGGGACAAGGAGTACGATCGTAACCGCATAACCTAATCAGCACCAGGACACCAGGACTCCCATTGTCGTTAATTCCACACAACTCGAATGCATCTTCATTCTTCTTTATAACAAGGTATTTAGAAAGAACAAAATACAATCTTAATTTTTTTTTTTTTTGAATGTATTATTATGTTGGGGGAGTTTTTTTTTTTGGTCAAGAGATTGAGAGGGAGTTCAGAACTATTACAATAATTTAGTGGATGAGAGAGTTTTGAATTCGGAACGCATGGGTGGAAACCAACACCCTATTCACTAAGATATTAGACCACATGCGAAAATACAAACTTAATTGAATAAGTAAACCTATCAAATAAGTAAACCAAATTCCATAAGGACAATGGAACCTAAATAAAAAGAAAACACAAGCTAATTGAGTTAGTCAACCAAATTCCTTAAGAACAAGGAAACATAAATCTTAATAAAATAACATAAAACAAAATAGTTAAGTAAATTAAACTTTTTCCTTTTTAATTTTCCAACATCCAGCCATGTACTGGAACCCAAATCTGACATAATTAACGACTATTCTGTCGATTACGTACAGTGTTTCATGAAAAAATCTACAACAAAAATAAAATAAGATGAAAGGGAGAAAGGGAAGGCAGGCACAGAAGGATTATGATTAAAATCTTGATATTGTTTGGGAACCAAAATTGGGTTAACAATTTGGGGATTGTAACAGTATCCAAAAGACTGGGGAATACAAAAACCAAAATAAAAAGGAATGTGAATTACCTGTCGATATTTGGATAATAAGGGTATTGAAAGGCTAATACAGTAGTAAAAGTATAAACCCTTTTACGTGGGAGATTTTTATTGGGTAACAGATTAGAGTTTCCCTTTTCGGCAACTATTAGAATTGTTATATAACAAGGTGTGTGGAGAGGGAAAACCTTGCTTATCACTGAAATATCAAGGAGAAAACCTTGCTTATCACTGAAACCCTAACCTGCAGCCCTTTCAAAAGCAAACGCTCCAAGAGCACTGGCACTTGCATCATCATGGACATATCATCTTACAGAGCCTTTGAAGAGCTAAAGCTATTCCATTCCATCGATCGCACAATCTACGTTCGACTGCTGGGTTTACGTTTTGATCCTAACCAATCTAAGCTTGTCCTAGCATTTTGGTATTTTCTGGACACAGAAACTCACTACAAGTTTATGGCGGGCACGTTAGATTTACATGACCAGGACTTGTATGCTTTAGCGTGTGAGTCGATTATCTGCTTACAGTATCTGTATTCAAGTTGCGCTCCTCCGGGGTCAGAGGAAATTGATAGCAAGTTCCGAACACTGTCTCTTCTTCTTCTTACAAAAAATATTCCACTCGAGTTTGTGTTTGAGAACAAGGAAAAGGCCCGGGAAGAGATGAAGAAAGTTATGGACAATGTCTTCGATAGAGCTTTATGGGATATAATTATAGTCCCACCATATCCATATTTGGGTCATATACCCAGTGGTTTCCTGCAAACCAATTTGTTGAATGGTCCAATATTACAACAATGGTTTCAGCATAATTATTCACTTAATCAGCAGGGTCATAATATTGTTGAGGCTCAACCTTTATTGCCACCCCAAGAAGCAGACGATGATGTGCCAGATCAGTATCAACCTAGTGTTGACAACAATGATAGAACTTTATTCTTGACATTCTCAAAGGGCCATCCTGTTTCAAAGGAAGAACTCAAAAGCTATTTAAACTGGTAGTTCTCTCTAGTCTCTCTCTCTCTCTCTCTCTTAATTATTGCAACTTATATTGAATGGTTACACGTCTTATTGCACTGAGGTGCTTTGTGATAAAACCCAATACTTATCAGGCTGTGCAGGTAGTTAATTGAGACAATATTAGTGTGATTACTAGCGGATTGTTGGTCTAATTTGGAAAATAAACAATTTGTATCATCTTAATTGACCTTATCTTGTCGAGTATCAAATTTAAAGATGGCACAACATACGATCAATTTTATATGACTAGGTATATATAGCTTTAATAGTGGTTTATTATTATCAGCTTCAACAATATCTAGATTAACTTTTTTTAACTCGTCATGTATATGCAGGAAATTTGGAGATTGTATAGAGTCAATCTTTATGAAGAAGCCTGTTCATCCAAGTGAACAATCACTGTTTGCTCAAGTTGTTGCTAAGTCTGCGTCAGATGCTACCAGAATTCTTGATAAACCGGACCACGAGGGCAAAGTAAAATTCTCCGTTAATGGAAAAGATGTTAAAGCGAGGCGATCTAAGCCAAGGACAGAACTAGTCACAAGACTGGAAGGGTTCTAGCAGCCAACCCTAACAAAGTACAACCGAGAACGGCCATTGACAAGATAAAGTGGCTGCACTCAAGATTTTTGTCCAGCACAAAGAACAACTTTTTGAGAGAAAAAATAACTTTTTTGTTTTAGTCTGTTGTATATACTACTATACTAGATGAAGTTTTTGGTTTAGGCAAACAAAGGCAGGTTCGTTGTATATGTCTTATTTTTGTTTTTCTTTTTGGCAACTAGTGTATAATATCATTATAATTATATGTTATGTCATGTCATCTTTTTTAAATATAACCTTATATTTACATTAAACGGTAAGAGAATTAATTAATACAAAACAAATTTTACACGTTTGATGGAGGAGTCTTCAAGTTAATTTTGGGGTTTTTCGTTCCCTCTGTTTCTCTACGTTTATGAATTTTTATTTTTGTTCATTATTAAAATAAAAAAAAACTATTTGATTATTTCTGCTAATGATTCTAACCAATATATATATATATATATATATTTGTTTTTGTTTGGGGGGAGGGGGAATTTACTCCTCAACTAAACAAACGACTTGCACTCTATATATGGGGAAGTGGAACTTACTTGACCACGCCGTGCCTATGATGGAGTGACTTATGCATCATGAAGAAAATCAAGGGTGGTGTGGGACTTGGTGGCCCAGATTTCAAATGACACAATTACTCTATAAATTCTACTGCAATCGTCTCAAACAGTTACCAACTTGAAGATAAAAAGGTGTTTTGTAGACACCCCCCTATGGCAAGCGAAGATGATCTATATCTTCTTGGCATCAAAATTACTTGTTAGAGAATTGTAGGACCTGAATTTTCCTTTCTAACATTGGGGCGTGTAGGGGAGCTTTGGTTGCTTAGGATTTTTGTTTAGGTAGGAAATTTAAAATTAAAATATACCTTGTTTATTCTTTAATGAATGGGCATGCCACGTCATCTACCCATATAAGGTAGTTTATGATTGGGTCTAAACGAGGTGTCCTCATCGTTATTCTTGTTAGACTTTTTAGCTAAAATGATTCATGAGATTTGTATAACTCATCATTTTGGTCCTTAAAATTTGAAATCAATAGAAGTGGTCCCTGAGTTTGTCCATTATCAATCATTTTGGTCATTCCATGAAAAATTATATTAAATAAGAACGAAAATGACAAAAATATCCTCAATTTAATAAACAATGGGCCAAACGATTTGACAAAAATTGAGGGTATTTTTGTTATTTGAGCCTTATTTAATGGAAATTTTTCATGGAAGGACCAAAATGATTTATGGTGGACAAACTTAGAGACTGCTTCTATTGATTTCAAATCTCAGGATCCAAAGTGGGGAGTTATGCAAATTTCAGAGACAATTTTGGCTAAAAAAAAAAACCTTCATTTTAATGTATTCTGGATGAGTTAAGATTTGGTCCCTGACTAGAAATTCGTGAATATTGATCTCTAAATTTTCGTCCATTATTTAACAAAAAAAAAAAAAAATCCTAGTTTAATTGTATGTAAGACATTTTTTTAGTCAAATGATAGAAGCTTTTATTAAATATGTGAAACAAAAGATACCATTAGATGTGCTGCCCTATTAAATTCTTGACTAGGAGTAAAAAGAAAATCTATTGATCACAGTTGTTTTTAATAAAATTCTAGTTTAATTGCATATAAGACATTCTCTGGTTAAAATATTTATTACATTCTGAATATTTGTAAAAGTTGGGACATATTAGAGCATCTCCAATGGAGACGTCAAAAGATAAACGTTAAATGTTAATTTGATGGCTGATGTGGCAATGTTAGATTTTCTCTTTTTCCAACCAATATTTTCTTTTTGTTATAAATGATATTTGTAGGACTCATTTTAAAAAGAAATCAATTAAAATAAATTTTCAAGATCTATAATTGGTGCATTAATGGGAACCACATAACAAAATAATTAGAAATTATTTGACATATGAAAACTCATATGTCAATCCACATAGGATTGACATACTAGTTGAAGCTTACTTCTACCTTCAAATTTGATTACATGACATTCCACTTAGGATTTGACATTTTATTTGAAGATGGTCAACTTATAACCCAGATAAAATTTCTTTTAACCACCAACAAACACTAATAACTTATCACGCACTATCAGGGTCAGGACTGCCATCTGCACCCTTTACATTTTGATACTTGTAAAACTTAGCACACACCAAATAATAGCCAAAGTTTATCACCCCCACCACAGCGAGCATCCAATAAACATTGTCCAGCTTGCCGTCGCTTATATTGTTTAGTAACCATCCAGTAATCCTTTGGACCAAATTAATCACACCTGTGCTTAGGTAAAATGAAATCCCAATAATCAATGAGGTCAAAGCCGTCGATGTGCTTCGCAGCGACAATGGAAATTCTTGATAGAAAAATTCAACTTGCCCTGGAAAATGAAATGCCTCTCCAATGCCTATCAAAGTTAACTGTGGGAAAAGCCACAAAGCTAGCATTGGTACAACAGCACCGGGCTGGTCATGGAGATGGTGGTCTTGGAATACTTTAAGCCTTTTCGACTCCACCATTGCCGCAACAGCCATACTGAGAATGTTTAACATGTGGCCTAATCCAATACGTTGTAGGGGCGTTGGAGACCGGCCAATCAACTTCTGCCATGCGGGATATAAGAACCTGTCGATAAGGGAGAGAGAGATGACATTGGAGATTAGAATAATGACTACAACCGAGCCAGGTGGTATCCGAAAATGAGGTCCAAGGTGAGGGTCCATGGTTAGAGCCTGCAGGATTGATAAGCTGGATTGAATTGCTAACGGGGTAGCTAAGAATATGCCTATTGACCACATTGGAAAAATTCTTATAATCGTCTTGAAATCTTCCACCTGTTGCATTGTGCTCAGTCTCCATGGTTTTACAATTGAACCATCTGATCTGATGTCTCCTTCAGTTTTCTGTGCTGCACGGTTAAGAAACCTACATAGAAAAAATAAGGCATCGTATGTCTACAAATACTGTCCAACTTGGAAGATGATCCTCTACTTTTCTCTTTATTTTAATTAAACGAGAAAAATTTAATAGGTGTCTTGCCGACGTAGCAGAATGAGTGGCAAGTTTTGTCTAATTAGAACAAATCATGCAGCTTTTATATATAATTCAAAAAATTATATACATTGCACACTTGAATCTGACATAATACGGCATTCATTATCTCACGTGACATGATACTCTATGTAAGTTTTCTCATTTTATGCAGTTCAATTCATGTTATTTTATTAAAAAATATTGCTTAAGGGAAAAATATCTTTATCTCCTCAGAATCTCAGTTAACAATTTAGGTTTTGAAGGAGGAAGCAATAACTCAAGAGATTTAATTACCACACAACCAAGAACTCAATACGATGAACTGTTAGGTATTGTCTAAATAAGCTGAGCAGATGAGATTTCATAAAATATGGAAATGTATATAGGTAACCCTATAATGTTTGTACCTCAAACTCCTGCTAGATGCTGCAGCCTCCACCCCCGTTACTCCATAATTCCCATAGTAATAATCTTTGCTTTCAGAAGAGATCTGGAGATTCCTTTTCCACGTCGCAGCAACAATAACACGAGCTAAACCCACAAATGGACTCCCTTGTGGCTTATCATATTTATAGAAACGGGTTCCAGACAAGAAAATGGCTATGGCAACTAGGTTGGTGATGACAGCTAGGCCAAATCCCCGTCTATAACCCACATTGTCCTCAAGATAGATAATGACTGTTAGGCCTACTATTGAAGCAGAGTATATAGAAACGAAGCACCAATTAAAGAAAGTTGCTTGGTCCTTACGTCTGTCAAATTGATTAGCACCCAGTATTGCCATGGTAAAGCGGGTGCCTCCCAACCCGATAGATGTAGAAAAAGGTATGTAGGCTAAAAATATATTGATACGTGAATGTGGAAAAAATGGAAGAGAATGCTTTTTTTCTCATTATCTTTCTCTACAAGATTACAAGGATATATATACATGATACAAGTGTGTAGATAGGACAAGGTAGCCGTCCTAGTGTGTAGGTAGGACAAGGTAGGACGGCTGTAGGACGACTTGACGGTTGTAGGACGGCTAGTGTGTAGGTAGGACAAGGTAGGACGGCTGTAGGACGGCTTGACGGCTGTAGGACGGCTAGTGTGTAGGTAGGACAAGGTAGGACGGCTGTAGGACGGCTTGACGGCTGTAGGACGGCTAGTATATTCCTTATTTGTCTAACACTCCCCCTCAAGTTGGAGAGTGGATGTCAAGAACTCCCAACTTGCGTAACATACCCGAAAACTTTTCTTTCCCAAGAGGTTTGGTAAACAAGTCTGCCAACTGTTGTGCCGTACCCACATGCTTGGTCTCTATTGTGCCATCTACAATCTTATCTCGTATAAAGTGACAATCCATCTCAATGTGACGAGTTCGTTCATGAAAAACAGGATTGGCAGCTATATGTAACGCTGCTTGATTATCACAAAATAAAATGGAAGGACCATCCAAAGGAATGTTCAAATCCTTCAACAAAAAACGAAGCCAAACTATCTCGCAACAAGCACCTGCCATGGCCCTATATTCTGCCTTTGCTGAAGAGAGCGAAACGGTTTTCTGTCGTTTCGTCCGCCAAGAAATCAAAGAACCGCCCAAGAATACATAATACCCAGTAGTCGAACGGCGAGTGATAGGGCAACCTGCCCAATCAGAATCACAAAACGCAGTTAACTTGGTCTGGTTGTCAGAACGAAATAATAAACCTTGACCTGGAGTAGCCTTCAAATAACGAACAATACGAAGCGCAGCATCCATATGAGATATCCTTGGCTCGTGCATAAAACGGCTTAGAACATGCACAGAATAGGTGATATCCGGCCGAGTGATAGTGAGATATATTAACCGACCTACTAATCGTCGATACTTTTCAGGATCCTTGAGAAGTTCTCCTTTATCAGATAATTTTGTGTCATCCATAGGAAAAGCAATGGGTCGTGCTCCCAAAAAACCATAGTCCTTGAGAATCTCTAATGCATACTTGCGTTGAGAAATATAAATCCCTTGTTTGGAACGAGAAACCTCAATACCCAAAAAATATTTTAAATCACCAAGGTCTTTTATCCGAAAATGATCACGGAGAAAAGACTTCAAAGAATTAATGGCACTAGTATCATTGCCTGTAATCACAATATCATCCACATAAATGAGCAAAGCTGTGAAAGAAATACCAGACTTTTTAGTGAACAATGAATAGTCAGCTTTGGATTGTTGAAAACCGGCAGAAATGATGGCACTAGTGAATTTGGCAAACCATTGGCGATAAGCCTGCTTAAGACCATAAAGTGACTTGTGAAGGCGACACACAAGATTCTCCCCCTGTCGCCGAAGACCAGGAGGAGGAGACATATAGATTTCTTCATGTAAGTCACCATGTAAGAAAGCATTATTAACATCAAGCTGATGAAAAGACCAAGACTGACTAGCAGCAAGAGCAAGAAGACAACGCACCGTAATCATCTTAGCAGTAGGAGAAAAAGTGTCATGATAATCAATACCTTCAGCCTGAGTGAAGCCTTTAGCAACCAAACGAGCTTTGTAGCGGTCAATAGAGCCGTCGGAATTGTGCTTGAGTTTGTACACCCACTTACAACCAATGGGAATTTTGCCAGGGGGCAAGGAAGTTAAAGTCCAAGTACCATTAGCATGTAAAGCTTGAAGCTCCTCAGTCATAGCACGTTGCCAATTGGGGTCAGTGGCAACCTCGGCAAAGGAGGAAAGCTCCACAGTCCGACTGACAGAGTTAATGTAAGAAAAATGCCTAGGAGAGTAACGGTGATAAGAGAGAAAATTACAAAGTGGATATCGCGTACCTTGTGTAGAACCGGGTTGCGAAGTCGAAGATGGGTGGGATGGCAGAATCACCTGCGAGCAAACGTAGTCTTTTAAATAGGATAAAGGTTTATGGGCAGGGGAAGAGGTGCGGGGAAGGGGAGGAGTGGTAGGTAGTGGGGGGGGTAGGGATGTCCGTGGGTAAAGGGGCATGGAGAGGAACGGGTAATGGGGCAGCAAGGGAATCTGTGGGAGGCGTGGAAGGGGAGGAAGGTGGAGGAGGGTGAGGGGTCGGGGCAGGAAGGGGTGGGTTATATGTAAAGTCCAGAGGGGGTGGGATGGGTAGGGTAGGCGAAGAGGATGGGATAGGAGGGTGAGAAACGGCATAAGGGAAAGTAGTTTCGTGAAAGATGACGTCTCGACTAGTGAAAATGCGGTGATTGTCGAGATCGTAAAGAGTATAGGCCTTTTGTCCATGAGGATAACCGAGAAAAATGCAACAATGAGCCCGAGGGGAAAATTTGGTGGTGGGAGTGATAGAGGTGGCATATGCCAGACAACCAAAGACGCGGAAGTGGTCATAAGATGGGGTTTTCGAAAAGAGAACCTCAAATGGGGATTTATGATGGAGAAGACGGGTAGGGAGACGATTGATGAGATAAGTAACGGTAAGAACACATTCCCCCCAAAACTTGATAGGAAGATGGGATTGAAAACGAAGGGCGCGAGCGGTTTCAAGAAGATGACGATGTTTTCTTTCAACAACGCCATTTTGTTGGGGGGTATAAACACAAGAAGTTTGTAAAAGCACCCCATGATTAGAGAAAAAACTACGAAGAGATAAAAATTCACCACCATTGTCAGTACGAATGCATTGGATGGTAGTGCGGAATTGGGTAGTGACATAAGCAAAAAAATCCTTAATTAATTGTTGAGTGTCGGATTTATGTTTCATGAGGAAGACCCACGTAAAGCGAGAAAAATCATCCACAATGGTTAAGAAATAATGAGCACCAGAAAGAGAAGATTGACGATTCGGGCCCCAAATATCACAATGAATTAAAGCAAAAGGGAAAGTTGATGAAATTGAACTCAAAAGAAAAGGTTGACGAGTTTGTTTTGCCAACGGACAAACATCACAAATATGACTAGAATCAAAAGGACAATTAAGAGAGCTAGATGCTAAAGCTTGCAAACGAGTGGAGGAGGGGTGACCAAGACGCCTATGCCAGAGGGAGGAGGGGATGGTAATGAAGTTGCAGAGAGGTTGACGGGTGGGGAGAGAAGAGGTAAGGGCCACAAGGTAATACAGATCGCCACGTCGCTTACCCACACCAATCATCGCCTTCGAAACCAAGTCCTGCAAAACACACCAAGAAGGAAAGAAGGTTATGGAACACGATAATCCATCTGTAAGTTTACCAACCGATAAAAGGTCCACTCGAAAATTAGGGACACATAAAACATCATTCAAAGTAACTGATGAATTTAAAGGAAGAGTGCCGGTAAAAGTAATGGGAGCGGAAGCACCACTAGGCAAAGAAACAGGCGGCAAATGTGAAGGAGAATGATTAACCAAACATGAGGCGGAAGAAGTAATATGATCCGTAGCACCACTGTCAAGAATCCATTGACCATGACGAGAGGTGACAGGTAACAAACCTTGGGCAAAATCAGTAGTGAGCACGGCATTGGCCTGATGAGGGGTGGTGGTGTCACGTAGAGCAGCTAGAACACGGGAGTACTGCTCGGCAGAGAGGTCAGGCATGGCAAGCTGCAAGTCATGCAAAGTGGGCTGGGCCCCGTGCAATTGGTGGGTCGCTGGAGTAGAAGAGGAGGCGGGGGCCTGGGTGCCTTGCACGTGATGGGCCTGGGTGAAATTATGGGGCCGGGAAGCAGAAAACCGTGGCTGCCGGGGAGGACTGGAAGGTGCATGGCTGCGGGAAGAACTGGAAGCAGTGGCACGACGCGATGGTCGCCACGGTTGGCCATGGAGGGGATGGCCAACGGGATAGCCATGAAGTTTATGGCAGGTGTCTCGGGTATGATAATCAAAATTGCAGTAGGTGCAGTGGAGGGGAGGACGAGCAGAGGAGGGACGGGACGGGCCACGAACAGCCATGGGAACGGCAGAGAAAGCTGCCGAGAAAAAAAAAATTAGGGCTAGGGTTATAAACCTGCTCTGTATACCATGTAGAAAAAGGTATGTAGGCTAAAAATATATTGATACGTGAATGTGGAAAAAATGGAAGAGAATGCTTTTTTTCTCATTATCTTTCTCTACAAGATTACAAGGATATATATACATGATACAAGTGTGTAGATAGGACAATGTAGCCGTCCTAGTGTGTAGGTAGGACAAGGTAGGACGGCTGTAGGACGACTTGACGGTTGTAGGACGGCTAGTGTGTAGGTAGGACAAGGTAGGACGGCTGTAGGACGGCTTGATGGCTGTAGGACGGCTAGTGTGTAGGTAGGACAAGGTAGGACGGCTGTAGGATGGCTAGTATATTCCTTATTTGTCTAACAATAGATGATAGAGCTATACCCGCATACGGGATTGCATACTGCAATGTCGAGGTGGGCTGGCATAATTCGGAGACGATAGCACAAGGTTGAGGCTTCAACGAATTAAGTGTCGCGGTTAAGGTCAAGAGAATTATGCCCTACAAGTCAAGTGATCGGTATTATTAAATCATAAATGGAGTTTAACTAGCTACTTAAACGTTCATATTTGTGATATTTGACATATTTAACATTACATGTTGAAGTCACAATCACCTCATAGGTAGATCAGCTTAACAATCAACATGATCTATCTCGGATTAGATTGACAAATTGAATACAATATTATCATAAACTATTTACCCAAGTAATTTTTTTTTTTGAACATATTATCTACGCTAAGGGAGAGGAAGTGGACTCCTCACAATAGGCTAGCAATAATGTGGTTCAAATTCGCTTTAACGAGAACTGACTACATTTATGACCTCCCCTCTGAAGCTTTAACGTATAAGGTGTATATGTAGTCCACCTCTATGAGAGATTTTTCAGTGTGACTGGTACACAGGGTGGTATACCACGTGTCACTATATAAATGGTGAGATATGTGTGTTAAAAAGTTAATAACTTAAAAAATAAAAATTTCCACCCCTTGTATAAAAACACGTGGTATACCACCCATATTCCCGTCACAATAAAAAATTTCTCCACCTCTATTAAAGAGGTAGTCAATAAGTGATCAGTTATACGATACATTTGTCTATTATATTTTGTGTCCCTGCATATAAATAATGAGTATAGCAAATAGGCATGTAATGAGATAAATATATTAACATAATGGTTATATTTTATTACCAGCAAAGAAATGCAGGAGGAAACTGAGATAACGGAGAATGAGCCGAAGAAAGAGTCGGCTATGATTGCAGCAATGATTGGGATAAAACTGGAAGAACCGTTAACCACGTTTGCAATCTTAGCAGCATCAATGCTGTTTATATTGAATTCTTGAATCAGAAACACTATAAAATTTGAGAGCCATCCTCCGACTGTAAGTGACAAGCCTATCACAGCCCCTGCTCAAAATTGTACAAGTCCATCTTTCAAATTTTAGTGCGAAACATTAAGGCTTTGGCCCAAAGAAAGTATGTCAAAAATACGTCCCTTGATCCTGATCCTATACATATGTGTGTGTGGGGCAATTAATGTCCCTTCCTCACATGCGCAGCCCATTTTGCATGTAAGGATGCTTGCACATATACGTTCTGCACGCAAGTGGAACTCTATGTAAAACTATGCACGTAGATTAATATGAAAAGTGATTGATAAGAAATAAGTGTCCGATGTTTCAATCTAATAGTGAAATTGAATCTCAAGGTGTTAAAAAATGCTTAGATGTTTGTGGAGTTCAATTTTGAAAACTTTTGAACAAATTTATAACCGATAATCAATCAAGAAAGTATATCACCTGCATATAGGTATCAAGCCAATTTTAGAAGCATGCAGCCAACTAGTACAATTCACTCCTCTAGCTCTAGTCTACATGCATGCATATGAATGATAAACAAGATTACGCTAAACGATTACATATCAAAAGCTCAAGAGACAACAAGATTAGGCTAAACGATTACATATAAAAACTCATACTTATCTAAGGAAATTACAAACTCAAGCATTTTGAAATTTTCTTTGAATTGTCAAATTTTATACTTAAATACCATGTTTTTTTTTGTTTTTTGGGGGGGGGGGGTGGGTGGGTGAAGGTTCAACAATTAATCTAGCTCAAGGCTCAAACCTTTGCTTTGTGATATTCTTCAACATGAACACACTGTTTATAAATAATGCGAGAATGCTTCTAATTTACACAAACATAAATTGAATATACATACACGTTTACCATCTTTGCCATTATAAAATGTAGAAAGAATTAAAGAACTGTCTCATACATTATAATACTTTTTTCAAAAGAAAGTAGTTTTGTCACTTAATGCAACCACCTTCATTCAAAAAAGGTACTCACTACCCACTTAATACATCCAGAACTATTCAAGTGCCATTTGGATTATGTGGCGATTTGCAGTCAACAATATAGGCCTAAGATGAGACGTAAAGATAGTCGGGACAACGCTTGGCGAGATAGAGTAGAGTAACCAAGGTCAGAGTGGGACACTTGCCTCGCATGAATCTAAAAAGGTGTGCCACCTCGATTGCAAAAACGTCACTTCACTGATGGTGAGTCTGGCTGAATAGGTGGAAAGGTGTTAGTGTGTTAGTACAAGTTAATGGCGCATTAAATGCCGGTTTAAGAGGCTCCAAAACTAGGAGAAATTTTTTAGAGTACCCGGTACATGAGACAGAGAGCAGGCGAGCAAGATGAAGGCTGTGAAGGGCGAGGCGATCCGGTGTTGTCGGTTTTAGGCTGGTGAGGAGGGTGGGGAAGTTGATGGACGACAAAATCTCGTCGTTTATTAGGCGATGGAGGCTCTGAAGATGGCGACGTTGGGGGATTACACAGCCGACGAAATTGGGGATTGACGGTGAAGAAAATGGTGGAGTGTTTAAGTTCAAATCAGATCGTGAATGTTAGGGGGCCAGTAGCCAATTTCAATGATGATTAAAAGTTAGAAGAATTAGGGGTTGCGGATGAAGTTTTAGAATAAATTTTAATAAAAATAATAAAGAATGAATTAATTTTCAACAAAAAGAGCAAGAAAAAAAAAAAAAGAATTTTTGTTATGTCATAGGCCTATTGGTTTGGTATTCCACCTGTCATGCATGAGGTGGAGTTCCTGGAACAAGGAAATTTTTTTCCAAAACTAAAGGCCTAACACACACACACACACAGGGATGAGGACCTCCAATATGGGGTCGGACAAAAAGGAAAGAAAAGATTGAATATATTAGCCGAGTGCTATTAAGTCTTAAAATTAATATATTATGAGCAACACAGTGGATGTAGCCCAGTTTTGAGGGGTCAACCATTTATATCTCTAAGTCTATTTAATTTTAGTCCATATATGTAACGACCCATCCTAAATTTTTCGAAACATTGAGGGCAAGTTGGTATTTTCACTTTGGTTGAGTTTTGTATTTTAAATGTCTGCCTTTGGTCTTGTTTGGTGAGCCAAGTGGGGCCCACTTCCTTTTTGGTTCCCTGGCCCACTCCTTCTTCTTCCTTTCTTTCTCCTCTCCTTGACAACTCTCAGATCCCTCTCTCATACTCTCCTATCTATTTCTCTCTCATTCTCTATAAGCAAAGACCGCACCATCACCCTTCACCATTTCCTCCGGCGAACCCCATAAACTACCACTGTCCATGAGCCTTCTCTCTCCCTCATTCTTTGTGAAGCATAGAGACCACCCAACAGAGCTAAACGCACCTACCACATCGGTAAGTTCCACTGTTTCGACTAGGTAAGGCTCGGAATACCCTCGATCCTTCTTCTTTTCAACGTCTTGGGTTGTTTTAAAGAATACAAATATGTTTTATGGATGTTTTGTGACAGAAAATTGATCGGGGACATTTTTTCAGCAAGAACCCGTTCCTTCTAGGCTAACTCCGGCCACGACACGTCACCAAAGTGGTACGAACTTCTTCCTCCCATCTTAAGCTTTATTCCCATAGCTTGTACGTTGGAAATGGTGAAGCAATGAGCTCGAATGAAGCTTTAGAACTCCTGCCTAGTTTTCGGCTGACTCACGGTTTGAAATCGGGTCGACCCAACCCGAAACCCATAAACCAAATCCAAACCTAACCTTGCTACCCGGCCCAAACCCTTGAACCATACTACCCGGCCCAACCTAGAACTTTGGCCCACTAAACCAAGCCAAAAAATCGGCCCAACCCAGAAAACCCAAAACCCAGACCGACCCGAATTCAACCCAACCCGACCGATTCCTAGTTTCCAGGTCAGCGTGTGGATGGCGTGTAGAGCACATGCGCCTTCGCCGGAGGTACTGTGCTTTGCCGCCATGGACGGTGGGGAACACAACGACACTGTTGACTTTTTCAGCCAACTTTTCGACGACCCAACTCAGCACATAACGGCACATGGGGGTACCCAAGGTTCCCCTCTAAGTTTTTCGACGTCCTGAATCCATTTATGACGTTCATTTTCCTAAATTCAACCGTTTTAGTAGATTTTTATTAATTGGTCCCTTTATGTGCTTAGGTGCGTTGTTAATGGTGTTTCCATATTCTCTAGTTTGCACAGGCCTTCGACGACGAAGTATCTGTGAGTGGACCCTTCCCAAAATGCATGATTTTATTACTAGAAATGCATACATGAAAATAAAGATTTTATGACTACGTTTTATGAAATGTTTATAAGTAAATTGGATTTACGCTTTATGAAATATCATGCTTTAGCAAATTTACATTACTCAGATATTATGATATATGATGTTTGAGCTATTGAGCTCCGATGAGATATATTTTTGAAAGATTATGTTCATGATTTTCTGTGCTTCCTTAGTGGATATTCATACATATGTGCCTTTGGGTGGGCGATGTAGTGCTTTTGGGTGAATGATATATGTGCCTTCGGGCGGGCGATGTAGTGCCTTTGGGCCGGTGATGTAGTGCCTTTAGGCGAATGAAGATTTATATATGCCTTCGGGCGAGTGAAGATTTATATATGCCTTCGGGCAAATGAAGATTTATATGCACCTTCGGGCGGGCGATGTAGTGCCTACGGGCAGAAAATGTTTATATATGGCTTTGGTCGGCTGATGTAGTGCCTTTGGGTGGAAGATATTTATATATGGCTTTAGTCGGGCGATGTAGTGCCTTCGGGCGATTGTGAAACCACTATTAAGCACACTATATATGATATATGTTTTATGAAGGTTTTATGGCATGTTAGGGTTTTCGGAAAACTTATTACTTATTATGCTATATGAGTTTACATAAACTGGGGATTAGTACATTAAAGAATAACTATTTTAGTTTACTTGTATATAAACTTGGTCTACTCATGTTTTGTTTTATGCCCACTCAGGACTTAGAATTGAGGCATACAATCTTGACGTCAAGGCACTCCCGCATCGGTATCTTCGAGTCTTCTCGATGTAGGACCCATTCCTTTGTTCGTACATTTTTATAATATTCCTTTTATAGTGTTCTAGATTAGTTGTATGCTCTGAATACGTTCTACAATTGCATATTCATTATAGTTAATTTACGAGTTTTATTTATGTTCATCCCTTCTTCATAGTTCTCATGCATGTTAGTGTGGCTTCGTCACCTTTTGTTCAGAGCATACTTAGGATCTTCTATTACTGTAGTAGTGTGTCGACCTTGACATCATTTAGATGTCACAGTTTCTGGATTTGGTGCCATTCGACGTAGTTGTGCAAACCTTTTTCTGTCTGAATTGTCACATTCTATTTGAAATACAAGAATTCATGTCGGGATTGTGCCTCATCGATGATGAAATGGAATTATGGACGACTTTCAACAATGGACCGATACTTTGCGACATGCATTCCCTAGGAATGGCAAGCATAGTCAAATTTACATTAAAGTGACGTGAAATATTATCAGAGGCAATGAAGTTGGTTGAAAAAGACATAAAAGCAAAGAAAGCCTCAGATAAGGTTGAAAAGAAAAATAGCCTCTCTACTTCCAGTGTTCAAGATGATGATCAACATATATTGGATCCTCCAACCGTGAGAGCTAAAGGGGTAACCAACAAGAGATTGTAGAGTGCTTTGGAAAAATCGAAGAAAGTGGCAAAAGTTAGATATACCTCACAAATGTCACCACCTAATACTATAGTTTCTAGTAATACTCATCCAATATGGTACTTTTTACTTTTTATTGTGAATTTACTATATTATTATGTAATGAATATATGTACACTTGCAGAACAACATAATCAAGAAACTATCAATGCTACATCAAATATGACAACTCGTATCCATCATTTCAAGACTTTTATAATCAAGTTTGTATTGAAACTTATATTTGGGGTTATAAGTCACAATTTGTGTTATCATTCTAACATTTTGTTTATTGATTTAGGTTAATGGCAGTAGACATCTTGGATAACACAACTTTAGCTCTTCAACTTCAAGAATTCTTAGAAAAATGCGCAGATGCTGGAAACATAGAGCTCATGGATTGAAGATGGATGAATTGAAGAAACGATGTGGGATTTTTATTTATTTTTATTTATATAGTCTGGCTGCTTGACAATTAGTCAAAATAACTATAAGATCCACCTTGGATATCAAGTTTTTTAATAGCTTATGTTTTGATCAAAGTTTTATTTCAAATATTATTATCTTTAGTTCTTAATTATATTTGGTAGAGATGTACTTTCTTGAAAATAGAAAGCTACTATGATCAAAACGAAGTGAAAGATAACAATCGGTTATGAAAAAATTAACTCAATAATCTGGAGTGTGTACTTTTGCATTTATAGAGAGGAGAGAAATAGTGAGGGAAAAGAAAGGTTTGTATTTGGAAAGAGGAGAGAAACAGTGGGGGGAAAGAAAGCAAAAAAATTTTGGGAAGAAAAAAGTGCAGAATTTCATAGTGATGCACAAACTTATGGTGGAGGAACATACATCTATCACTAGCTTAACTAATGGTTTTTGTCTTGCGGTGGCACTCTTGATTAAATATGTATATACTTTCTTACTAGTTATAGGCTTATACACTTTCACGTGATTATTCTAATCACAACCTAAAAGAGATGAGGAGATATCTCAAGAAATATATAATATTAATTAGTAGAAAAATAATTATGAGAATTTTAAATATAAAAGAATGATAAAATATTATATTTAAGACTTGTCACGTGGTAAGTTTTGAGTAGATTGTAGTGCCACTCAACGACGTCCAGTGGCAAACCAAGCACCACATAAGTTTTTCTTCCGGATAGAAGCCTGCCGTGATCCTCATAAAATAGGGATTAGGACTGTTATAAGGGACACACGAAGGTTTTTTGTGGTGGATTAGCAAGCCCCCCCTCAGGTGCGGTTCAGTTTTGATTGCAAAGGCCAATGCTGCTATATATCCAAGCAAATAGGTGTAACATTCTCACATTTTGAGCTAAGACGAGTTCTTTGTTAGGAAAAGAAGATGACAGGAATTTGAACAATGAAGCTTTTTTTCTTTTGTTTTGAGAAAAGTTTAGGATTTGTGGGGATAGAAATTTTATCTCAAGTTGCAAGTAATATGTCCACACGGTTAAAAATCTCATATCTCAACGTGGGATTCCACTATAAAACATATTGATAATATAGAAAGTAGTCAATTACTTATAAGCTCATGCAAGATCCATGCATTTTTTCCTTAATGTGGGATTGATACTCAACATGCCTCTTCTTGTATGACGAATTTTCAAGCCTAATACGTGGATAACACAAAACAGGTGACATGGAGCACGTGTGGCCGTTGGGCATCACACGTGCGACAACATGTTCTGATACCATAAAGAAAGTTAGGCCATCTCCAACTGATCCGACCAAAGGGCCATATGGCTAAAAAATAGCTTGAAATGACACTAAAAAAGTCTCCAACCGAGGGTTAGGCGAAAGGACTTGTGGGCTCCACCGAGCCAAAACCACCAAATCAGGCTAGTGGCCTGGCCATCTCTAGCTAGCCAGCCAGCCCGATGAGCCCAGCACGCTTTTTTTTTTTTTTTTTTTTTTGGACGAATTTTTTTTAGCCCAACCCACTTTTATTTTTTGGAAATATATATATTTTTTTTTAATTTCTAATTTTTTTTCCTACACAATTTCTCACATACTTTTCACCAATCCATATTATCTTACCTCATTTTATTTCAATTCTTCATATTCTATTCTCTTTCAATAATCTTTCCATTAATTTTTTCAATAATTTTCAAATGACCACCTATTTCAATAATCTTCCAACATGTCCGAAAATCTTATTTTAATATGATAGTTTAATTTAATTAACTATATTAATTCAATTAAAATAATAAATTATGTTTGGCCTAGGACCTTTTGGCCTTCTTGGTTAGAGATGATTTTTTGTCACAGGGCTATATTTGGTCTATGACCCTTTGACCCCTTTGGTTGGAGATAGTATAAAATATGGCCTCGCACTGTTTATTAAAATAAAATTTCTTGGAGGTCTATAGGGCTAAAGAGAGCCTAGTAGCCATTGGATTTGAATTTTGGGCCGACCTTGGCTGGCTGGCTCATTTGGACCAGCTGGTTGGCCTGATTTGGTATTTTTTGCACCGTGAAGCCCATGAGCCATTTGCCTAACCCTCAGTTGGAAACGGTTTTTGTGTTATTTTGGGCTATTTTTAGCCCTATAGCCCTTTGGCCGGATTGGTTGAAGATGATCTTAGGTTCTACTATAAAAATAATTGCTAATATAGAGAGTAGTCCAACTTATTTATAAACTCATGCAAAGTTCATTCTCCGATTAACGTGGGATTCATTATCAACAATTCCAAACATTTCAAAAATAACAAATTCAATATGTAATAAAACTCAAAACTAACAGATTCACTGTTCATAAGCACAGTGTGCTTCCTATTTTGTCCCAACTAAGTTTGCTTTATTACGTTTCAGCCACTGTCTGAGAAAATATATATACAATTTTTTTATTTTTATTTTTTATTCTTCTCTGTTCCCTCTTCCCGCTCGCTGCCGCGTTGCGACTAACCCTTTGAACGAGAAACCCAAAAATCATCAATTTTATCTCCTTCTCCAAACCAACACAACCATACCTTCCATCAATCTTAATCCGCACCCGAACCCTCGAACCCAGTTTGGGTTCGACATTCCCGGCGACTTTCATAAGTTTTCCGGTGGCGGCCGGCCCTGCAACCACATCTATTCGACTCAGGAGAGTCCCAACAACAATTCGAGTTTTTCATGCTCAAATCTTCCCCCTAGACTGAGGAGTTCCATAAACCCAGCTCGTGGTGGGTTTTTCCGACGAAATTTGAGTTTTCTCCGACCGGTTTCAGGCCTTTTCGACCTTTTTTTGGGTCCGGCGAATGCGATAGTCTTACTCTACACCCCCAAATTAGTTTATGTTGTGAATTTGGTGTGCAATGGTTGAGTTTTAAAGCTAATCGGAATCTCTGTGTTTTCCGGCAATTAGCACTCCCAAGGTATGGCGTAAGTTGCTTTTCTTTTCCAGCAAATTAGCACTCCCTGGGTATGGCCACATTCTGCAGATCGATTAATGTGGTGGTTAAGTGCTGAAATGATTATGTTGCACTGATTTCATCTGTCGTAAAGCGCAAGACAATGGGGTTAATCCTTAAAATGGAGAAGGAAACAGGAGCTTAATAATTTAGAATTCTGAAAAGGCGAGATGTTGCTATAAAAATCCTAGACATATATAGACATGTGTTTATAAAAATTATGATGAGATCCTCAAAAATATCCGGCTGGAGGCCGCGAAACCCGACCTTTTTTCGTTGGGAAGCTGGTGTATTTGTAGCATGGGAGTCTGATTGCTGCATATTGCATGGATATGTGCATTTCTTGAGTTTTTGTTTTTTGTGTGTTGGATTAGTTATTGTTGTTATATAACCAGAACTATACATAGTTAGACGACTGAGAATTGTAGTTCAAGTTATTACATATTGTTCAGAGAAAATAAGATCATTGCTCCTTTTCCACATTCTAACCTATACATACATATATATATATATATATATATATCAAAGGTGGTTACTTGTGGAAGGTGGGGACTTGGAAATTACTAATTAGTAACCCAGATATGGCTTTTAATTTTATTATCCCAATAACAACATCACTTATCACCTTCAGGGCCAGGATTTTCGTTTGCTCCCTTTACATTTTGATACTTGTACAACTTAGCACACACTAAATAGTAACCAAAATTTAGCACCCCCACCACAACTAACATCCAATACACATTATCCAGCTTCCCATTGTTTATATTGTCCGGCAACCATCTTGTCACCTTTCGAACTAAATCAATCACACCTGTTCCCAAATAAAACGATATCCCGACGATCAAAGCGATCATCGCGGTAGATGTGCTTCGGAGTGACACTGGAAATTCTTGATAGTACAATGATACTTGTCCTGGAAAATGAAATGCTTCTCCAATGCCTACCAAAACCAACTGTGGGAAAAGCCACAAGGCTAACATGGGGACAATAGCCCCAGGTTGGTCTTGGAGGTGGTAGGATTTAACTGCCGTGAGCCTTTTTGACTCCACCAATGCCGAAACAGCCATGCTGAGTACGTTTAACACGTGGCCTAATCCTATACGCTGGAGAGACGTCGGAAACCTACCGGTCATCTTCTGCCACACCGGACATAAGAACCTATCAATAAGGGTGAGAGAGATGGCAGTGGAGATTAGGACAATGACTAAAATAGAACCAGCTGGTATTTTAAAGTGAGGTCCTATGTGACGGTCCATGGTAAGAGCCTGCAAGATGGTCAAGCTCGAGTGGACCGCTATTGGGGTACCTAAGAATATGCTTGATGACCATAATGGCAAAATTCTCATAAGGGTCTTGAAATCCTCTACTTGTTGCACTGTGCATAGTCTCCATGGTTTTGCAATTGAGCCGTCTGATTTAATGTCTCCTTCAGTTTTCTGTGCTGCACGGTTGAGGAACCTGCACATAGAAAAGAGGCCATCAATCTATTTTGCTAGTCCAAAGATTGTTACCAAACGGACCTTGACTTTTATAGTACAATATAAATTGCAACTGACATAAAAAAAAAAGGGCAGAAAAGATAAATAGAGACTTTGTGGATTATTTCAGGTAAAGCTTTCGGGCATTTTTTTCTCTCAATAGTAATTTAGTTACTTATCCATGTTGCCACTATGTATATCAGATCAAAATGCGCGACCTTTCTAGTGTTGCTGTCAGTCACAACTTTCAAAAAAATGAAAAAAGAACCGTGCTGCCTGAACTGCTCTGTCATGTCTAGTGTTGTGCGGTTTCTTCATAGGGAACTAGTATATATGCTCACACACAAAGTGGATGAATTTTTTATTTTTTATTTTATTTTTTTTAATTGAAGGAGAGAGGAAGAGAGAGAACATGAGAGTGGGGAGAGGGGGTGAGAGGTTTGTTTTATATTTTTTATTTATTTTTTCAATTAGAGATGTTAAAATTATCGGCTTAAACAAAACACAGTAAAATTTTGTTTTGTGAAATTACGTTACTGCTCTTAATTTTTTTTTGTTGTGATAGAAGACTAAATAGTATTTTTACCATCTTTTGGTTGATAAAGAAAATTCTATTAATATTAATTAATATGTAGTTTAGATAAAGGAATAGGTAAAGAAAAACATTTTCAATAGCTTTTGTAGCTGGACAAGAAATCCCGTGTCTATATGAAGAAAATATTGGGCAATACATTTTCTTCCACTAAGAAATGTACGACACCGTCGAAAATTGTAAATTACATAAATGTATAACATACCTTGCTAGCTAGTTGTGCGCTTGAAATCCAAGGAATTTAATGGTTGGATTTGAGCCACTTAAAATAGAATATGTACTTTATATTGGTGTAGCCCATAAATTGGGTTGTTTGAGATGTAATAAAATTAAAAGAAGGAAGTGATGTTGAATGGTGGAAAGTGATTGGATTGTCTTTTCAAAATTTGCCATAGAAAAGTGGCTTCCCTTAGGCAAAATACTAAGATTTGTAGAGTTTGTTGGAGAGTGTAATTCTGAATTAGTAAACTTTAATCTTCAAATTGCTACGTAGGTCAACAAATTTGTATATAAAAGTCATGTTTATAAAAACTCTTGGAAATGCTCAACAAATAAAAGATAAATAGATTATACAAAATCACTAGACCCCAAAAAGTAGTTTAAAGGGCTATAAGAGAATTAGTCATAACAAGACACACACACACACACGAACCTAGCACCTCACGTGCAACTCAATTTGTGTACAGAGAGGCAAAGAAAATATGAGTTGTAACGGTTTATCTCTTAAGAACCCAAGTTTATACTCTAGTGAATGAATAGAGCTAATGTCAAGCTAACATCAATAAAGTGTAAAGTAATGCTTGTGCGTACCCGAAGCTTTTGCTAGGTGTTGCATCCACCATGTCTGTCACTCCACCGTGCCCATAGTAATAATCCTTGCTTTCATCAGAAGAGTGCTGAAGATTCCTCTTCCAAGTTGAAGCAACGACAACACGAGCCAAATCCACAAACGGACTCCCTTGTGGCTTGTCGAAACGATAGAAACGGGTCCCGCATAAGAAAATGACCAATCCAAGTATGTTGGCAATGACACAGAGGCCAAACCCTAATTTCCAACTCACGTTGTCCTCAACGTAGACAATCACTGTAATGCTTACAACAGAAGCAGCGTAGAGAATGAAGAAGTACCAGTTGAAGAAACTTGCTTGGGTTTTAGGGTTTTTGAATTGATTTGCGCCCATCGTTGCCATGGTATAGCGTGTGCCTCCCAAGCCAATAGTTGCTAGAGCTATGGATGTGTACAAGATTGCATACTGTATTGTTGAGGTGGGTTTGCATAGCTCTGATCCGTCGTTCACACAAGTTTGAGGCTTCAACGAATTAAACGTGGCGGTTAACGCTAAAAGAACTATGCCCTACAAGGCAAACAAGCAATGAGATCACATACATGGTGTTTAATTTAACTAGGTATGGATCCATAACTATGTTACCAATAAAATAGTCAGCTAGGAAACTAAGGAGTAATGGTTTCTTTGTTAAGAAACTCTCTCACAAGTGGGACTCTCTGTGGACTTTCTGTCACCTCATGTTTTTGGCACAATGTTCTATAATGTTGGTATGATAATTAACGTTGTGAGATGACAGAAAGTCCATGAAGAGTCTCATTTTAAGAGTCTCCTTAGCATTTCTCCTTTATCTTTTTCTTGGTCTCAAAAGAGAAATGCAAAAAGTCTATGAAGAGTCTCACTTTAAGAGTCTTCTTAGCATTTCTTTAGTATATTTTTGTTGGTCTCAAAAGAGAAATGCTAGGGACGCCTCTTTATGACCACATAATTAATCTAGTTAGAAATTATGATTCCTAACTTATTATATTTATAAAAAAAAGAGTACCTAGTACCTATATATATATATATATCTTACAAAATTAAGACCCATTAGTCACTTATTAGCTTTAACAACATGGATATTAAAACTTTCGTCCACAAGCTTAAAAAAAAAAATCCTCTTTGAAAGGAGGCTTGTATATGAAGTCTACGGTGCAAAAGCAATCAAGTGCGCATGCACGTATCAAGTATATCATCAAACATGCGTCTTACATAAGTTAACTAAGTATCAAGTAGATCATCAAACATGCGTCTTACATAAGTTACCAGCAATAGAAGTAGAACTTTTTTAGGGATTTTTGAACACTAGTCTTTGTAGAAGATTAAAATTAAAAAAAAAAAACTCTAGTACTAGATTACGTATTCAATTTAATCCCTTGAAGTGTACTTTTATTAAAATTTACTTTCAATTTTATTTTTTAATGTGCATTTTTATTTAATCTCTCCACATTAAATTTTAATTTTTATTAATATGCACATATTTAGTTCTTTAATTATAAATGAACCTAAATGAGAAAATATTAAAAGAAATTTGTGATACAAAAATATGTAAATATGCAAGTGTACATAAATGATTGTACCGAAATATATAAAATTGACTTCTTTGTCCCAAAATGTTTATACCTAAATGTTTGTACCGAAATATATTATAATGAACCTAAATGTATGTACTGAAATGTATTAAATTGAATTAATGTACTCAAATGCATATACCGAAATGCACGTACCAAAATATAGTATATTGAATTAATGTACCTAAAAGTCAATACCTAAATGTGTGTACCAAAATGTACATACCAAAATACATTGTATTGAATTAATGTACCTATAAGTTTGTATACGAAACATTCAAATGTATTAATATACCTAAATGCAGAACATACAAAATTGTTATTGGAATATATTACAAAAAATAATTTAGTTTGCCTAAATTTAGACATTAAAATATATTATGATGAATGAAATGAAAATTAAATTTAAATGAAATTAATACATTAAAAAATAAAGAAAAAGATAAATAAAACATCAAAATATAAATAATAAATGAGATGATTAAATGTACTAGGAACTAAAATTGGATTTTAATCTAACACAATGTTATAGTCTAAAACTCATTTTTTAAGGACTAAAATGAAGTTTTCCAACTTTTTTTATAATTACCAGCAAGGAAATGCAGGAAGAAATGGAGATAACCGAGAACGGGCCTAAGAAAGAGTCAGCTATGATTGCTCCGATGACTGGGAAAAAACTACTTGAACCGGCAACGATGTTTGAAATCTGAGCAGCATCAATGCTCTTAACATTGAATTCTTGAATCAGATACACAATCAAATTTGACAGCCATCCCCCAGCTGCAAGTGTCAACCCTGCTAAAGCGCCTGCGCAGCACACTCAACATGTATAGCAACAAATATTATTAGGGAAATCTTCTCTTGTTGGCAAGTCGATAATATAAGATTACACGTTAGTTCACACTCGCATGTGTAGTCTAAGAGAGAGCAAGGGAGAGAGAGAGAGAGAGAGAGAGACCAGTGATGAAGGGGAAGGTGTTCCAACCACCGCGTCTTCTACCGGAATCTGATGACGTATGAGCTTCGTGATCATTGTGGGAGAGGGAGCCATCCATGTTGGAAGTTGGTCAACTTGTATTGAAGCTCAAGCTTGCTGGTGCTGGTGTACGGGTCTATTGTTTAATACTTGTAGCGAGGGTAGTGTGATGTTCAACAAGAAATGTGAACCCACTGCGTCAAATATATAGTGGTGGAAATCCTAATTAAGAATCTAATTATTTATTCTTAGGGAACAAGAGGCTTAAAAACAGACTAATGAACACAAAACCCGAATATATATGTTTGACCACGCACAGTAACTTAGGCATAAACTGAAATGGGAAATGATAAACACATACTATTTTTTTCTACTGCACACTCATATTTAATTATAGGATAAATTACACTTTCATACCTCAGGTTTATGGTCTATTTCAATTCCTTACAACATCTTCAAAACATTTTACTTTCATACCTTAAGTACTATTTTATTTCAAAATAATACATCTGTTACATTTTCCATCCATTGATCTGTTAAATACTGACGTGGTTGCTACATATATGCCATGTGGATACCAAATGTCTGCCACATGGCAAATAATATATATATATATATATATATATTTTTTTTAAACCTGAATTTTCTCAAAAAAGAAAAAAAAATTGAAAAAAAAAGGGTAAATTACAGTTTCATACCTTAGGTTTGGGGCCTATTTTAATTCCTTACAACGTCTTCAAAGCATTTCACTTTCATACCTTAAGTACTATTTTATTTCAAAATAATACCTCCGTTACATTTTCCATCCATTGATCTGTTAAATGTTGATGTGGCTGCCAAATGTCTGCCACGTGACAAATAAAATAATTTTTAATTTTTTTTAAAAAAACCTGAATTTTCTCAAAAAAAAAAAGAAAAAAAAATGAAAAAAAAAAAAATGAAACCCAATATCCCTTCCCCCCCCCCCCCCCCCCACCCTCTTCGCGACCCACATCCCTATCCCTAACCTAAAACCCAAAAAACCTATTGCAGCAGCAAGAAGAAGAGGGTGGAAGAAGAAGAAGAAGAAAAAAAAAAAAAAAAAAACTGCAGCAGTAGCAGCAAGAAGAAGAAGAAGAAGAAGGAGGAAGAAGAAGAAGGAAAAAAAAAAATCCCAAACCCAGTTCGGCGCCCCCACCCCAACCCGGGACCCACCTCCCCTCCCTCTCGTGACCCATCTCGTGATTTTCAGTATGGGTGGATTTTGAAAATACTTTGAGTTTGAGATGATTTTTGGATTGGTTTGGTGGTAGATCCACTTAATCTCGGGTGGAATTTTTGTGGGTGATGGGGGATTTTTGGGAGGGGTGATAGGGGATGAGAGAAAGGGGTGGCTCGGGTGGGATGAACTGGGGCTTCTGGGTTAGGATCGTTTGTTTTGTTGGGGGGGGGGGGGGGGAAGGCATTGGTTTCAATTTTTTTTTCTTTTTTTTGAGAAAATTCAGATTTTTTAATAAAAATTAAAAAAATATTTTATTTGCCCCGTGGTATATATGTGGCAGCCACGTCAGCATTTAACAGATCAATAGATATAAAATGTAATGGAGGTATTATTTTGAAATAAAATAGTACTTAAGGTACGAAAGTGAAATGTTTTAGAGATGTTGTAAGGAATTGAAATAGATTCCAAACCTGAGGTATGAAAGTGTAATTTACCTTTTTTTTTTCTTTTCTTTTTTTGAGAAAATTCAGGTTTAAAAAAAAAAAAAATTTATTTTATTTGCCACATGGTAGACATTTGGCAACCACGTGGCATATATGTGGCAGCCACGTCAGCATTTAATAGATCAATGGATGGAAAATGTAATGGAGGTATTACTTTGAAATAAAATAGTACTTAAGGTATGAAAGTGAAATGTTTTGAAGATGTTGTAAAGAATTGAAATAGATCCCAAACTTGAGGTATGAAAATGTAATTTACTCTTAATTATATTCATTGTTTATGTTCGATTTATTTTTTACGATTACAAAAGAAAATGGAATGTGTGAAAATCAACTCTCAACTCAAAATTAGCAAATGTCTAGTAAGAAAAGATATTTTTAACAAAGATCAAATCCAATATTTTTTACAAAAGCTTTGGGCAAAATTGGAGTCACGCTTTGCGATGGCGTCTTAATTGCACATCCATGAACTCCAATCACGTCTACACATCATTTCAAAGGGCAATTGCATAGCTACTCAATATCTTCAACAAATTGAAGATATCGTTGATGCTATTGCCAGCATCGGTGCTGCGGTTGAGGACTCTGAATTAATCTCTGTAACACTTCACGGTTTACCACCAAAGTACGAATCTTTTGTTGATGTGATACAATTCTGGCTTGGTTCCACCACACTTAATTAGCTGCATGGTCTCCTTCTCAATAAATAGATTCAGTTAACAAATCGGAAGAAAACTACTTCGACAGTGCCAATTCAGGCTTATAACTCCACCGTTGGCATTCTTCCTACTCCACATTCTCAGGCATTTGTTGCTCAACATAATCTTCTAGGTCGTGGTGGTGATCGCAATTTCTATCACAGTCATGGTGGCGATTGTGGTTTCTCCAACCCTAGAAACTTCCAAGGACAAGGCAACTTTCGTTCTAACAACTATCGTCCAAATTCTTCTCACAATAACTCTCAGCGCTACAATCGTGGTGGTCAATCATCCTTCAATTTCTCTGGAAGGAGGATTCCATGCCAAATTTGTCGCTAGTTTAAGCATCATGCAACTGAGTGTCCCCAGCGCATGAATCCACACTATTCCAGCAATGCCTCTCATTATGCTATCTGTAAGCACACATTCTCCTCAATCAACTTGGATCGATGACTTTGGTGCTAGTGTTCACATGACCAATTTTTACAACACTCTTCAAAATCCAGAGCCATATTCTAGACCTGAGCAAGTTTACATTGGAGATGGAAAAGGTTTGCCTATTCTCCACTCTGGTTATTTTACATTACATACTCCTCATCATAATTTTCAAACCTCAATCAACTTGGATCGATGACTTTGGTGCTAGTGTTCACATGACCAATTTTTACAACACTCTTCAAAATCCAGAGCCATATTCTAGACCTGAGCAAGTTTACATTGGAGATGGAAAAGGTTTGCCTATTCTCCACTCTGGTTATTTTACATTACATACTCCTCATCATAATTTTCAACTTCAAAATGTGTTACATGTTCTTGATTTGAAACAAAATCTGCTTTCTGCAAATCAGTTTCTTGTTGATAATTGGTTCTTTATCTTTTTCACTTTGCTGTGAAGGATATTTCTTCGGGGAAAATGCTATTTAAAGGTCCTGTGAGAGATAACTTTTATCCATTTCAACCACAACCTTCCAATTCTATGATCCATAATCACAATGTGTTTGCTGCTTCTGTTAACACACCTAGAGATATTTGGCACCAAAGACTTGGCCATCATTTAGTGAAGATTCTCAATAAGTTGGCCATTAAGTCTTCTATTTTGTTTTCTAGTGTTTCTAATAAGTATTTGTGTAATGGTTGTGCCTTTAGCAAAAGTTCCAGATTGCCATTTGCTTATGTACCTTGTCATACTAGTAAGCATTTGGAGCAACTTCACACAGATGTTTGGGGGCCAACATCTGTCATTTCTGTGAACAATTTCAGATACTATATTATCTTTGTAGATGATTTTACAAAATATTATTGGCTTTATCCTTTGCAATATAAATCTAATGTATTTCTTACTTTTGTTAAGTTCAAAAGTCTTGTTGAGAACTTGTTGCATACTAAAATTGTTGCTCTCAGATCAGATTTTGGTGGGGAATATCTTAGCACTCAATTCTTTAATTTCCTTGTTGAGAATGGTATCAGTCATCAACTAAGTTGTCCTCACACTTCTCAACAGAATGGTTGTGCTGAACGCAAACACATACACATAGTTGAGACTGCCAGAACACTCTTAGTAGCTTCTAAGGTCCCTCATACCTATTGAGATCATGCTTTTTCAACTCCTATGTTTTTAATAAACATATTACCTACTGTATCCAGATTGTCTCCATGGGAACATCTCTTCTATAGATCACCTAACTATGCCATTTTGAAGGTTGTTGGGTGTAGTTGTTTTCTTTGGCTGTAACCTTACTCTGAGTCTAAATTGGATCCCAAAAGCAAGCTTAGTGTGTTCCTTGAAGACAGTCTTAATCACAAAGGTTACAAATGTTTGGATCTCATTACCAACAAGTTATACATCTCATAAAATATGATGTTTGATGACAACAGTTTTCCCTTTCACAATCCTGCAACTTCACAGTGCTCTACTTCCTCAGTAACAACTTCATCTCTTAATACCATTCTCGCTCACCTCACATTCACTCAACCACAAATCCATTCCTCCATATAATCTTCTTCATCTTCTATATTGCCAAGTAGCTCTTCTTCAATAGCCCTTATACCTACATCTCACTCAGTTCTTACTAATACTCACCCTATGCAAGCCATGTCCAAATCTGTTATTTACAAACCAAAAGCCTTTTCTACAACCAAACATCCTCCCCCTTCTCATATTTCCAATGAATTTGTTTCCACTACACATCTCCAAGCTTCCAAATATCCACATTGTGTTAAGGCAATGTAGGAGGAGTTTCTTGCCTTGCAACAAACTGGTACTTGGTCTTTAGTACCCAAAACTGCTGTTTTCAGGATTAAAAGAAACATGATGGTACCATTGATAGGTACAAAGCTCACTTAGTTGCCCAATCTTTTCATCAACAAGAATGACTAGATTATACTGAGATCTTTAGTCCAGTGGCCAAGCCTGTGACAATTCAACTTCTACTCACTCTTGCTACCCAATTTGATTGGAGTCTCAGTCAACTAGATGTAAGTAATGCATTTTTGCATGGCACATTGTCTTAATCTGTTTATATGCAACAACTGCCTGGTTTTGAAGATGTTATTCATCCTACTCATGTTTTTCAATTGCATAAATCCCTATATGATCTTAAACAAGCTCCCTAAACCTGGTATGAAAAAACTCCATGGAGCATTGCACACCCTTGGCTTCACTGGTTATAAATTAGATCATTCATTGTTTGTCAAAAGGGATCCTATGGTCTTTGTTCTGGTATATGTTGATGACACTATTGTCACAGGGCTATTTGCAACAGCTTGCAAGCATGTTATTTCTCAACT